CGGGCGGGGGGAACGCGGGCGGCTCGCACACCGGGAGCCGCCCAGCCGGCCGCCCGAAGCCTGCCGGGCCCACCCCGCCCCTCTCGGGCCCCTTCAGGAGCTCACTTCTTGTCCGGGCAGATCCAGTCCCCGTCACTGACTCGGAAATTCTTGGTCGACATCTTGGCCGCCGCCACCGCCACAGCCGCCCGCAGCTACGTCTTCGCAGGAGAACGCGGCCGGGGGCCTGCGGGGCTCCGGGCTGTCCGCGCCCCGCCTGACTCCCTCCGCGCGCCGCGGCAGGGCTGGCCAGCCCCGCGCCAGGCCAGGGTTGAGTGGGAACGGCTTTGCACAGGCGAAGGTGCCTGTGTGCTTGTTTTTTCTGCCGAAAAGTTATAAAATAATCATGTTTTTTTCAGCCTAAACTAACAGGCACTGTCGCGACAGTCCAGGCGGGAGGCCTCCGTGGCACTAGAAGCTTCGGAGAGCCCCCTACAGGCGGGAGGACCCAAAGAAAAAGCACTTGTGTTGTAGCGGGGCGGGGCTAGGGAAGCGGAGGCGGAAGTGACGCATCTCTGCCATGGGTTAGGGGTCGTGGAACGGTCAGTTGCTTAGTCTACGTTTGGGACGTGGGGTGTTCACGTTTTTGAAGGACTTATTTTAATAAAGGGGGAAAACCTTGTTTTTTCATTGTGTATCGGGGTGTCGTGTAGAAACCTGTTTTCACCCACAAATAGCTGTAACAAACGGGGTACACAAGGGAACCAGCCAACAATTTAAAAACCGGGGTGTTGTCAGTGTTACAATCACCAGTGTCTTCTCATCTCATCCCAATGGATTCCTCACAGTGTAACAGTATCCTTTATTTTGGATTTGTTCCCTTTGGAAAAGACCTGGTTTGTGTACGTGTATGTTTAGTTTGGTAAACTGTTGAGCTAGCTAAAGATAGTTATGCACTTTTTCACACTTGTGCTTCTAAGTTCATCCTAGCTGCATGTACCAATTGTTCCTTTCTTTCATTTGTGTGTATTTGTAATTCTTTTTTGTGACAATTTATCCCTTCCTGTCCCAGGTTTTGCCATTGCATTTTTACCAATTCTGGTATCAGAATGCAGATACTTCTAATAGCTTTTTAGTGTTAATATCTTTTTAATATTTGCTTTAATATTTTTGGTAATTCTAATACGTTGGTGATTTAGGAGTTGGCAGCTGTTGATTACATTGTGTGATCATAGATAATCTTGGACACTGAATGATACAGTATATTGTGTAGACCTTGGCCTTGTTAAAATCCTTTGGGGATTGTTGATTGTTTTGTTCTGTTTTAGAAGGCAATGGGTCCAGTTTGTCAATAGGGTGACAACTTCAATCTCATTTTCTGTGACTACTGGTTTCGTGTCATTTGGCATCTCAAAGCCTGTGCTACTTTAGGTTTATCTTACACATATGGGGATTATTTTTGGTACTTTGGCTGCAATTTAAATCATAGTTCACTTCACAGATCCTTTTCTGTGCTGCTTTAGTCTTTGGTCTGCCCTGCACGTGTGTGAGTGTGAAATTTGGATAGGGTCCCCTTCTCCAGCTCTCTTTGATATGTTTTTCTCATGCAGTCTCATGAAGTCCCTTTTTTCTCTTCTTCTTGTTGGAAATTTGAAGTTTCTCTTGGAGTTTTAGCTGCCTAATGACAGCTGTTCACTGTGGTCTTCACTGGGCACAGTGATGAGAGAATGCAGAAAATAGTGTGGATCCCCTCCACACCCTTCAAACTATAGAAGCCTTCCTTCCCAGTTTCTTTGTCTACAAAGACATTTTCTCTTGATGTCGTATGTGTCCAAAGCTAGACCCAAACATAGGGTCAAAATCCAGATTGAAAATCTTGGAAACAACCTAAATGTCCATCAACCATTGAATGGATAAAAGAAAGTGTTTTTTCAAAAATATAATGAAGTACTACTCAGCCATAAGGATAAATCTGAGACATTTGTAGCTAAATGGATGGCTCTTGAGATCATATTCTTAAGCAAAATGAATTGGATAAATGTGTAAATATCACATTGCTTCTTTGGTGTGAGAAACTGAAAGTGTAAATAAGACCCAAATATATAATAGATATTGTGAAATAGGAAGAAATTGTTCAAAAGAAAGAGATGGGGCAAAGGAAGGAAAGGAAAAGAAAAGTGAGAAACGAAGGATAAAATGGAAACAAAGCTTTGTAAATAAGGGGAAGAAGGGATGAAGGGAGGGCAGGGGAATAGAAAAAAAAATCAAAATATATCATGTACAAGTATAAATTCCCTCTGATGGATGTGATCATGATATATCTAAATGGTACCAATAAACTTAGAAAAAGTCCAGATTTAAAAACAAACAGAAAAAAATGATTTAATATTCCCCTACAAATTTCTGGCTCATAGAGGTCTCATTTCTCCATTCATCTGGTTAAGAAAAGATGGGATTTCTTAATTGCTCCTATCACTGCTGCTACCAAAAATTAACAAGGTGGTAGGTCTCCAGTCAAACCTTTGAGACAAGACCAGAAAATAGATATAGATCATTTCTTTTAAATTTTCATTCTTTGTCCTAATTTTTTTTTTTTTTTACTTTTCAGAGAGCTAGGGTAATAGTTTTTTGGTTGTTCCTGAGGGTTTTTTTTTTTTTTTTTTTTTATTGTAATCAGTGAGAAAGTCAGGCTACAGTGAGCTTACTGAATCTTGACTGGCACTGCAGATCAGGAGAAGGCAAGTTAAAACCATAATCTAGTTTGGCATGGTGGCACATGTCTGTAATCCAAGAACTCTGGGAGGATGAATCAGAGGGATTGCAAATATGAACCCAGCCTGGGCAATTTAGCAACTGAGAGAGATCTTGTTTCAAAATTTAAAAAAAATTTAATGGATCAAGAATGTACCTCAGTGCAAAGGCCTGGTCTTCAATCCCCCGCTCCACAAACAAACAACCAAGCAAACATCCATCAAAATAAATAAAATAAAAAATTCAGACAGCATCAAGTGATGGAAGATATATAGTGTATGGCGTATTTAGAGAATAGCAGACTTGTAGGCATAGGAAAAATTAGAAATCAATTAGAGGGCTATGACGACAGGCTCTTGCTGCTTGTCATGTAGCTAGCGTACTGCATTCATTTAGCCCTGACTGTCTAGGCCCAGATGTTTCCCCTTAACAATGTGCGGGGTCAAACTGACTGTGTCCGGCTTGTGTTTTAAAAATATGCAGTGATTCCAACTTGCTTCAAGGACTTTAAGGACAGCATGTTTGGGAAAGACTGGCTCAGTCAAGGACACTTTCAACTCTGCCTACTCTTTTCAGACACCCCTCCTTCCCAGAATGTGCCTTTACAGTTCTGCCTCACAATATATGCCATAATTCTTGTATTCCATGTAACCAGTCATATAATAACCTGCTATCAGCTTTGTGCTTCCTGCTTGCAAACCATATTTAAACTGAATTCAAACCTGACTCTGGGCTGGTGATTTGAGCCGCTGGGTTTGCCAGCCCACTAGCATAATAAAAATTGCCTTCTCACTCCTCTGTGCAAAAAGCCTTCCATTTGGTTTGATACTATTTTTCTGCAACTATAGAGCAACAAGAATTCTTTTAAGCTGCTGGTAGAAGTGTCAGTATATCCATTTACACATCGTCTCTAAGTTGTGATGACTCAACTTACAATTTTTAAACTTTATGATGGCGTGAAAGTGGTACATATTCAGTAGAAATCCGAACTTTGAACTTCACTCTTTCCCCAGTCTACTGATAGTACATCCTCTTACAGTTGAGGGCAGTAGTAGGGAGTCACAGCTATCGGTCAGTCACAGGATCCTGAAGTTAAACAACTGACACTCTGCAGTGTACTGTGTTGCCGAGCCATTGTGTTCAATAAGTTAAGTGCACTAAACAGCAGGTTATTGCATTTTGGACTTACAGTATTTGTGAGTTATAATTGGTTTATCATGTAGTATATTCTACTTTACGAAAGTAACCCTCTCATAAGTTGAACAGAATTTGTACTCTGAGAAATGTCATAACTTATTAAATCCGAATTTACACATGCCTTATGACCCTGAAATTCCATTCCAAAGTATACTCCATAAGAAATACATATATGCATTTAAGATATATATATAGTGGTGTGCGTAGCTACTTACTATTTTTTTGTGGTAGTGGAGGTTGAACTGAGGGCATTTAGACTAAGCTGTTCCCATGTGCCACTCCTCTTTTTAAAAAATTTTTGAGACAGGATCTTTTAAATTGCTACATTCCCTAGGCTGGGATGGAATATATGATCCCCACATTTCAGGTTTTCAGAATGCTGGGGTTACAGGCATGTGCCACCACATCTAGCATGAATTATTCTTAACTGGTACCTTCTCCACTGGTTGTCAGTAGTAGACTGTATAAATTGTCACATACTCAATGAAGACTCGGTGGACTTCTATAGACAACAGTAAGAACACAAATTACGACCCATTGAACAGTACCGATGTTACTCTCAAATGCAGTATTGAATTAAAGTGGCATATGCTATACGATTCCATTTACGTTAACTTTAAAAGCAAAGGAGCTAATCGAG